TATTTTCACTTTCTTGATAGTGTCCTTTGAAGCACAAATGTTTTTAATTTTGATAATGTCCAATTTATCAATTTTTCTTTTGTTGCTTATACTTTTGGTGTCATATCTAACAACTATTGCTTAATCCAAGGTCACAAAGATTTATGCCTATGTTTTCTTCTAAGAGTTTAATATTTTTTGCTTTTAAATGTAGGTCTTTTATCCATTTTAATTAACTTTTCTATGTGGTATAGGGTAGTTCTACTTCATTCTTTTGCATGTGGTTATATCTGGTTGTCTCAGCACCATTTGTTGGAAGGACTGTTCTTTCCTTCGTGGATGGTCTTGGTACTCTTGTCAAAAACCAACTGATCATAAATGTATGGGTTTATTTCTAGATTTCTAATTCTATTCCATTTATCTTTATGTATATCCTTATGTCAGTACCATACTATATTTATTACAGTAGTTTTGTATTAAGTTTTGGACTCAAGAAGTGTGAGCCCTCCAATTCTGTTCTTTTTTTTTTTGAAGATTATTTTGGCTATTCTGGGTCTCTTGCATTTCCACTGAATTTTAAGATGAACTTGTCAATTTCTGCAAAAAAGGCCATTGGGATTTTAATAGGGATTATGTTGAATCTGTAGATCAATTTGGGGAGTATTGCCGTCTTAACAATAGTAAGTCTTCCAATCCATGAACACAGATGTCTTTACATTTACTTAGGACTTCTTTAATTTCTTTCATTGTTCTTTTAAAGTTTTTAGTGTACCAGTCATAATTCTTTTATTAAATTTATTACTAAGTATTTTATTCTTTTTGATGTTTTATTCTTTTTGATGCTAAAAATGGAATTATTTTCTTAATTTTATTTTCAGATTGTTTATTCCAAGAGTATAGAAGGACAATTGATTTTTGTATATTGATCTTATGTTCTGAAACTTTGATGAACTTGTTTATTAGTGTTAATAGTATTTTTGTGGGTGTGTGGATTCCTTAGGATTTCCTATATGTATGTCATCTGCAAATAGAGATAGTTTTGGTTCCTTCCTTCTAATCTGGATAACTTTTACTTTTTCATTACCTAATTTCCATCCTAGAACCTCTAGTACAATGTTGAATACGAGTGGCAAGAGAGGACATCCTTGTCTTGTCCCTGCTCTTTGGTGTAAAGTTTTTAGTCTTTCATCATTAACTATGATGTTACCTGTGGGTATTTTTGTAGATGTCCTTTATCAGATTGAGGAAGTTCCCTTTTATTCCTAGTTTGTTGAGTGGTTTTATTTATCACCCTGGAGCCGCTTAGGAGTAGAACACATCAGCCGTATGTATTTCCACTTCATGGGGGATTCTGTTTTTTCATCCAGCTGAACAGACTGTGGCATCCATTTCAGAGTGATCCTTTCTTGAGGTGCTAAGCCTTGTGGCTGGAGGCAGAGAGAGGGACCTCACGCAAGCTATGGATCACATGATATTTGTGCCAGTTTGCTAAAAAATACATTTGTTAGCAGGTTTCAGAACATTGGTAAGATGTTCTTACCAATCTTCTTTGTAGGAAGATTGCTGGGGTGGGTTTTTGTCAGCTTCTTCTCTGTCATCACCAGAACCTACTAGGATCCATCAAAAAGAACCTAATACAGTTGACTCTTGAAGAACTTGGGGGTTAGAGGCGCTGGCCCCCCGTGCAGTGGAAAATCCACATATAACTTCTGACTCCATCAAAATTACTAATAGCCTTACTGATAATGTAGACAGTTGATTAATACATATTTTGTATGTTATATGTATTATATACTATATTCTTACAATAAGGTAAGCTAGAGAAAAGGAAATGTTATTAAGAAAATAATGAAGAGAAAATACATTTACAGTACAGTGTGTATAATTATTGAAAAAAAATCTGTGTATAAATGGACCTGTGCAGTTTAAACCTGTGTTGTTCCAGGGTCACCTGTATTTGGTGAATGGTATTGGCTTAGGCAGGTTTGCTTCAGACCAGGATGTAGCTGGAGATCACTGACACGTAGGACTCTTACTTTACCTCTGCTTCTCTTGCTGTGTAGGCTTTATTCATTGCTTTCTTCACATAGAAGGCATGTGACCGGTGGCATCTGTACCTCACTGCCTCAAGAGAAGATAGGAAGGAGCTCTTTACTTAATCCCAGTTGAAAAACTCTCTGGAAAAGGACTCTGTCCTGCCTTGTGGGGTAGTGGGTCCTGAGATTGACCAGCTTGGTCAGATAACCACCCCTTCAGCATTCATTGTCTCTGGGGGACGTAGTCACAGCAGCTTCCCTTCAGCCCCACATTAGAGCTGCGTGGGGAGAGAGTGAGGGGTGAGGGCCCTGTGCCATCGTGGAAGAGGAGGATCTAATACTATTAGAGCACAGATAAAGTCTGGGAGAATGATTGCAGGGCAGGCATTCCAAATTGTGCCTGCTGTGTCAAACTGTTACATTTTAAGTGTATAACATAGGGTAATTTATTTGATCTCCCTAGTGTCACTTTCATTTATAGTGTGAGTATAAGTCTTACTGTGCAAGGTCTTTTAAGGATTACTGTGTATAAAGTGTCTGTTACTTAGAGGGTATCAGTGAATGAGAATCTGCCATTATTATTGTTGCCATTATCCTTCTCTCCCAGGTTCTCATATTTAAGTGTTATTTTTCTAAAACATACCTTTGAGAATATTATTGCCCTCCTCATAAACCTTCAGTAGCTCTCCATGAACTATTGAGTAAATGGATTTTCTTAGCCACTCTCTAATTTTTTTCCATACCTCTCAGGATCTGGTCCCTGTAATCTTATTTTTAGCCTCATCTCTTTCTGTGTTCCTCTGTACTCTGTGTGCTGGTCTGTAAGTCTACTCTCCTGTGAATAGGAAAGTAAAGTTTTCTGCATCTGTGCCTTTGTTGATGTTGTTCCCTTGGCTTGAAATGACATTTTTCTCCCCTCTACCTTCCCTCTTGTCTTATCAGATTCTTCCTCCTCTTCCTTTTTTTCCCTAAAAGTCCCAGATTGAAACGTGAAACCTGGTCACTTTAGTATTGCCTTTTCTGATCTTTTTACATCATGGCAGGGAGCCTTCTGGAGTCCACAGCATGTTGTGCCTATATCCATCCAATGCTTATTTTTGTTCTGTGTTCCAATTTTTTTTTTTTTTTGGTCATTTTGCAAGAGTCAATTATTTTGTAGAATGTTTTACGTTCTGGATTTCCCTGATTATTTCCTAGTTGTATTTAATTATTTTCAGTTATCTCTTTCAGTGTTTTCTAATTCATAATCCTAATAGAGGTACCATCGGTGGGACCCTTGTCTTGCCCTTTTCTATGTTTACTCAAATTTTAGTTTTAAAATTGTACTATGGTGAAGAGGGGATCAAAGATGAATCTATTAGTTCTTACCTTGTTTGAGTTTGCATTATAATCTCTTTGGATATTTTCTTTTTTTTTTTTTTTTTTTAAAAATGACCGGGAAGGGGATCCCAACCGTTGACTTGGTGTTGTCAGCACCATGCTCAGCCAGTGAGCAAACCGGCCATCCCTATATAGGATCCGACCCCGCGGCCTTGGTGTTATCAGCACCGCACTCTACCGAGTGAGCCACGGGGCGGCCTTGGATATTTTCAAACCTAATTATTATTTTTGTATATTGTCTTTACACTTTTGGAGGGAAGATAAATATAGGGAATAGTAAAAGGGCTATTAAATGCTTAGGGAAAGTTTTTATAAACTATGTTTTTGTTAACTGTGTTATTAGTAAAGAATTGTTTGACTGTTTGGTATTGAGAATTTTTTTCTAAAATGTATGAGTCCTTCTTGTATTTGTAAATAGAATAGGAAGAGTCTCTTCAATACCTCAATAATCACTTCTCAACATGAATTATTATTGCTCAGGATTTTAGATCCAGGGCATCTATGGTTTAACGTGAGACAGTTGTCTTTAAAACATAGTCACATGGTATCGGCTTGTTTTGCTTCTTTCTCACATATGTGGAATACAGAAAAATACCAGTTGTTCAAGAACTAAATGTTTGTTAAACTTTGATTATTTGCAGTTTTACTTTATTACACATGACTACGTTATTTAATTTTAGGAGTATTTACTGAATGTCAACATAGTGCTTGTTGTGCATAACATAGCCTTTGCTTGGCTCAGTCTAGTGAGGGAGATATAAAGGGCAAGCAGCATTTCATCAATAAATGTTTTTTGAGCACCTGGTGTGTACCAGACACTGACCTGAAGCATAAGATAAGTCAGATTCAATTCCTACCCTCTAAGGAATGTGTAGTCTTGTGGGTGAGTCAAACAGGTAAACTGGCCATTATAACACAGGGTGGTGAATGACACGACAGGGGAACACACAGGAGACTCTGGCAGCTCAGGGATGGAATCCAAATCAGAGCTAAGGTGCTTGATGAGTTAGCAAGGCAGAAGACCAGGGCCAAGTATAGTCCAAACTGAGGAACACTGGGTGAGAAGTTGCAGAGGCAAAAAATGTGACCCATTTGGGGAACTACAAAGAGGTATAGTTACAGCAGTGTTTCTCAAAGTGTGGTCCTCTGTTTGTCTTTGTGGAGAATCATCTGGGAGCTATTCTTTTCTTTTTAATTTTTAAAATTTATTTATTTTTTTGGTGGCTGTCCAGGGGAGTGATTCTTAAACTCCCACATGATTCTTAGCCTTCCAGATGATTCTCTGGCTCACTAAAATATGAGAAATACTGGGCTAGAATTAAGGGGCATGAAGAAGGAATAAAAATAATAATGTAATATATGCTACCTTAAAGGTATGTGTAAAGCCCTATGTTTAAGTTAATTTGTATAGACTATAAACCATTTTCATTTAAAACCTGTTAATTCCACTATCCATAAACGATTTATTTTGGGAAGGAAAGCGGAATGGGCAGAAGGGATGGATATTACTGTAAATCTTCTCTTTTTATTCCCAGATGATTTGAAAAATAATTTATCAGTTTGTTAATCTTTTATTCATTGAAAATTGTTTTTGTTTTCTTTTAGTCCAAGGACAAAATGATGAGAGGCTCTCGCAGAGGATGTGTTAGACTCAGAGTGAGTATTTATTGTTTTTATGAAGATCAATTTTGACAGAAAAAATTGTATTTTGATGGAATCATGGAAATCTAAATTTAGTTTAGCTTTCTTACTTAGTTGTTGGGGCATGCAGCTAAGTCTCAGAAAAAGTGATTTCTCCAAGTAACTACTAGTTGTTATCAGAACCAGGACTAGAACTCAGTTATTTTGGCTCATGATTTAATGTTGGATCCATGACTTAATGCACCTACTGATTTTTTTTTTTAACCTCTCTTTTCCAGACAAGGGACAAGGGCTGGAAATTAAATGAGCTGTAGTGTTGGTGATACAGCAACAGTAGAAAAAAACTCTGAAAAATCCCCACTATTAGTTGCTTTGTTTTTTCTGTTCAACACTATTTAACAATGGTATATGTAGCAGTGCTGTCCTGTACAAATATAATTTGAGCCACATACTTGTATAATTAAAAATTTTCTAGTAGCCACATTTAAAAAGTAAAAAGGAACAGGTGAAATTAATACTGTGTCTAGGGGGCTGGCTGGTTAGCTCAATTGGTTAGAGCACAGCCTTGTAATAATAGGTCAAGGGTTAGGTTCCTCATACTGGCCAGCTACCAAAAAAAAAATTTTTTTTTTTTGGTCTAGTCCTTTGTATCCAAAATATTATTATTTTACCATGTAATCAGTAAAAAATTATTAAGTTATTTTACGTTCATGTTTTCATATAAAGTTTTTGAAATCCAGGGTGTCTTTTACACTAGGGCACTTCTCAATTCAGAGTAGCTGTGCTTCAGAAGAGGGGCTCAATAGCCAGTTGTAGCCAGTGGCTACCTTATTGGACAATTTAGGCCTATAGCTTCATGCTGCTTTTAGTTGCTTATTCAGTTTCCACCATTGTCCAAATTGGTAAAGGTAATAAAGAATGCATGCCTGGGGACACAATTTCTAGTACTCCACTGTATCTAAAAAAAGGGTCTGCCGCTATCATGACTAGGTAAATCAGCTTCTAGTAGCCTTTTCTTTTTCAGGACCTTGTTGCTTTGTGGGGTTTTTTGGTTTTGGGCTTTTTTTTTTTTTAATGGTTGGCGGGTAAGGGGATCTGAGCCCTTAAACTTGGTGTTACAGCAACATGCTGTAACCAACTGAGCTAGCCAGCCAGCCCCCGCTGTTGCTTGCTTTCTTCCATCTTTTTTTCTCCACATCCTTACTTTTGAAGATGTGAATATTTTTGGTAAACATATTATTGCCATTATTAGTAGTCCTTGGTAGAATTGGGAAATAACTCTGAGGGAAAAAAACAAATTATAATGGAAAAATTCTGGTGCTGAGATAGGAGTAAGTATGGCAGATTAGCAGGGTAGAAATGAGACAGGCTTGTTTTCTTTTGTCTCCTTGGTCTAATGGCTTTTCTGAGCACTTGCCGTTGACCTCAGTAACCACTGAATTTTGTATTAACTGCTTTTTTGGCTTGAGATATGCTCAGTAGTGAGACTTTGGAAGAGCTGTGTTGAGACAGCACTTCAGTTGAATTTAATCTGTATTTGGGCCACTGTTTCATTGTTACTGTTATTGTACTGGTTTTGTCTGTTTGTTTTTGTTTTTTGCTTTTAAGTATAGTTTAATTAATTATTAACCCTTGTAACTGTTGCCTAGGTTAAGAAATAGAATTTTGCCAGCTGCCCTTGAAGCTTCTCCATGTGCCCTAATCAAAAAAGCAACCACTTCTGTTACAGCAATCGCTTCTTGCATTTCTTTACAATTTTATCACCCGTTTGCTTACCTAAATTCTATAGTTTTATCTTACCTATTTTTTTTTAACTTTATGTCTTTTGTTTCCAATTTATCTGTTAAAGAATCCTGACCCTTTGACCTGTAGGAGTTTGCCATAGTGTAGATTTTATTGAATGTATACTGGTGCAATTCAGCATGTTCCTATGTCCTCTGTTTTTGATACAAATTGGCAGCTGCATCCAGAGACTGGATCAGACCCAAGTTTCATCCCGTTGTCAAAACTATAGATGGTGTTATATTCTTTAAGCAGGAGGTACAAAGTGTCTGGTTTTTGCTCTTTGTTGATATTAGTAGCTGTTGATGCTCAGTACCTACACCAGTTAACTCATTGGGAGGTTGCAAAGTGATGATAGTCTTATTAAAAAAAAATTTTTTTTATCAGTAATAATTTTATAAGTAGATAGTTCTCTTTATCTATTATTTGGTTACCCAGTGGTGCAATTCAAATAGGCAGGATAACTGCTTATTTCCTTTTACTTACCCACTTTTCAAGATAATGAATTGGATTCAAACAACACTTATTTATATATATACAAAAGAACTGGAAGCAGGGACTTAGATAATTGTACACCCATGTTCATAGCATTATTCACAATAGCCAAGAGGTGGAAGCAGTCCAAGTGTCCATCCACAGATGAGTAGATAAACAAAACGTAGTATATGCACACAATGGAATATTATTCAGCCTTAAAAAGGAAGGAAATTGTGACACATGCTACCACATGGGTGAACCTTGAGGACATTATGCTAAGTGAAATAAACTTGTCACAAAAAGACCAATACTGTATGATTCCATGTATATGAGGTACCTAGAGTCATCAAAATCAGAGAGACAGAAAGTAGAATGGTGGTTGTTAGGGGTTGGGAGTTGGGGAAATGGAGGCTTAGTGTTTAATGGTTATGGAGTTTTAGCTTGGGAAGATGAAAAAGTTCCGGAGGTGGATGGTGGTGATGGTTGCACAACAATGTGAATGTACTTAAAGCTGCTGAACTATACCCTTCGGAATGGTTAAAATAGTAAATTTTATGTTAGTATATTTTACCACCACATGCAAAAACACCCATTTATCATTCCACAGTTCTATAGGTCTGACATCTCAGTGGGGCTCTCTGCTTAATCAAGGAATTGGCTGGGCTGGGCTGGGTTCCTATCTAGAGGACTCCAGGAAAAATCCTCTTCCAGGCTTATTTAGGGTGTCAGCAGAATTTGGTTCCTTGCAGAGGTAGAACCAAGGTTCCTGTTTTCTTGCTAACTGCTGGTTGTGGTCTGCTCTCAATTTCTAGAGGCTACACATACTCTTTGTCAAGAGCAATGTGCATTGAATCCTTTTAGTGCTTTGGATCTCTCTGACTTCCCATTGTGCTACCAGCTGCAGATGCTCTGTTTTTAAAAGGCCTCATGTGATTAGATTAGATTAGATTAGATTAGACCAGATAATCTCCCTTTTGCCATTTAATGTAACATCATCATTCTAGTGATATCATATTCATGGTTTCCGCCCACAGTCAAAGGGGAGGAGATTATTACAGGGGCAAGGGTCATTGAAAGTCATTCTTAGATTTCTGCCTACCACATAGCATGACAGAAAAGAACCAGACATACCTGTGGTTGATTCCTGTTTTTACCCTTTGCTTTATTGACTAGAAGAGGGAAATTATTTATAAGCTTCCTGAGCTTGAGTTTTTTCTTCTTTTTTTTTTTTTTTTGTCCTTTTTGAGACCGGCCACACAGCGCTCAGCCAGTGAGCGCTGTGAGTGCACTGGTCATCCGTATATAGGATCCGAACCCGCTGCAGGAGCGCTGCTGCGCTCCCATCGCCGCACTCTCCTGAGTGCG